CTGCTGGTAACTTGAAGGTTGGATGTAAAAATTTTTAAGGTAAATATTGTCTGCTCCTTATGTTGTCAGTTGTTTATCCACGCGCTTACTGTCTTTCACACTCTTATGTTGGACAAAAACATCTTTAAATTTTCATTCTTAAGTAATGTTACCTCAAATAAAAGTAAAATACCATATCAGTAGGGATTTTTCCACTCTACACGATAGTATTTTTGCAAAAATAGTCGACCTCTCGGTCAAAAATATTGTTGTTAGGTATGTCTTGCTTACGTTCCCGGGTATGCCGTCTGTACACAATTTAGAACGAGTCCATTCATAAATTGCAATAATCAAAGTATATTACAGTTGATATTGCTCATAAAAATCATTTATTTATCATCTTAATTTACATACTTCAAAATAATACGTTTAAAAATGCTCTAAATACTATCTAATTATTTCAACAAAAATTATATAACATCAATGAAAAAAAAAACATAAACTGTACAGTGTATTGAATAATAATTTAAAAATGTCACGTTAATAAAATGTTCGTTTGATGTACATCTTTATTCAGTTAAAACTTAACCATCAATATAAACTGACACAATGAGAATAAAAAATAGTTTACAACATACGGAAAATAAATTTAATCGAACCAAGACCCCACCAAGTGCCCGGGAAGTACCCAAGGAAGTGCCTGGGAATTACCCGCCAAGTGCCCGGGAAGTACCCGCCAAGTTCCCGAGAAGTACCCGCCAAGTACCCGGGAAGTGCCCGCCAAGTACCTTGAAAGTACCCGCCAAGTACCTGGGAAGTACCCGCCAAGTGTCTGGGAAGTACCCACCAAGTGCGTGGGAAGTACCCGCCAAGTGCCCGGGAAGTGCCCGCCAAGTACCCGGGAAGTCGCCGCCAGGTGCCCAGGAAGTGTCCGGCAAGTACCCGGTAAGTATCCGGCAGTATTGTACTTGGTGGGTACTTTCCAGGTACTTCCCGGTCACTTGGTGGGTACTTCCCTGGCACTTGGCGGGTACTTCCCGGGTACTTCCTGGGCACTTGGCGGGTATTTCCCGGGTACTTCCCGGGCACTTGGCGGGTACTTCCTGGGCACTTAGCGGGTATTACCCGGGCACTTTCCGGGTACTTCCCGGGCACATGGCGGGTACTTCGTGGTACTTCCTGGGCACATCCTGGGTACTTGGCAGGTACTTCCCGGATACTTGGTGGATACTTCTTGGGCACTTGGTGGGGACTTAGTTCGATTAAATTTATTTTCTGTATGTTGTAAGCTATTTTTCATTCTCATTGTGTCAGTTCATATTAATGTTTAAGTTTTAACTGAATAAATATGTTCATCGAACAAAAATTTTATTAACGTGACATTTCTAAATTATTATTCAATACACTGTAAAGTTTATGTTTTTTTTTAACTGATGTTATATAATTTTTGTTGAAATAATTAGATAGTATTTAGAGCATTTTTAAACGTATTATTTTGAAGTATGTAAATTTGGATGATAAATAAATGATTTTTATGAGCAATATCAACTGTAATATACTTTGATTATTGCAATTTATGAATGGACTCGTTCTAAATTGTGTACAGACAGCATACCCGGTAACGTAAGCAAGACATACCTAACAACAATATTTTTGACCGAGAGGTCGACTATTTTTGCAAAAATACTATCGTGCAGAGTAGAAAAATCCCTACTGATATGGTATTTCACTTTCATTTGAGGTAACATTACTTAAGTATAAAAATTTAAAGATGTTTTTGTCCAACATAAGAGTGTGAAAGACAGTAAGCGCGTGGATAAACAACTGACAACATAAGGAGCAGACAATATTTACCTTAAGGTGAAAATTTTTACATCCAACCTTCAAGTTACCAGCAGTAGCTGACGCTCTTGCGTGCGCACATGGATATAGTTCTCACTGCTTACCGACTAAGCTCCAAAAACAATGTGGCAACGTCGCGAGTTCATGCGGGCGCGCTATAGCCTTCAACCCCATTTAGGGGTATAGTTTGGGACGTATTTTCAATCAGCTTCCATTTAAAAGCTATTTTCCCTAAAAAATTTAATTCTAACGGGGTTTGCGTCAGAAAAAATCGCTCTACACGTGGTTCTCGAGAAATGCCACCGTTACATATCATGCTGTGTATATATATATATATATATGTGGGCTTAGCATACTCGACATATGTGCTAGTCTCATGTTAGTTGTAACATTCTGACATCCTCACAAGGTTTCGTCTCTTAAACCTTACGAATGCAATTTTTTTTTCTTATGTTGTGAAGCAATTAAATAAAAAGTACAAATTAATACATATGGTTAAGTCAATAAATGACACCAAATTTCGCTAGATTTTTAATCATACGTTTTGGTTGATTAACAATTTTACATTGTTTATTTGTCAGCCTTAGCTGCTTACACGAAAACCCAAATTTTCCACAAATTTTCTGCCAAATTTATAATTACATAATTTGAAGGTCGAATTGGCAACTAATAATTACTACATAATTTCTTTAATATTAATCATAAGTTAAAGACAACCTTTAGTAAATGTTAGTACCATCGAAAAAATTCAACACAATGCCTTAACGATGGGAAAATCCGAGAACTTTTTCCATGAACTTTGCAAAATATTTTGGAGCATTAGTTAAGCCAATCAAAATGACCAGTCAGTGTTTCAGTAATAAAAGCCGTTTTGTCTTTAGCTGACTCAAATAAGGAAATTTGTTATCCTACATAATCCTAAGTCAAATTAAACCCAATTAATAATTTTGCATAATACAATTTCTTTTAAATCAATGAATTTATCTAAATTTGGGATTGGAAATGAAACAGGCTTTCTAATGAAATCTAATTTTCTAAAGTCTACTACGATTCTAGATATTCCATTTTTTCTTTTCACTAAAAATGTAGGGCTTGTAAATAACGAGTTAGTTTCTTAAGCAATATCTAATGATCAACTAAATTTTCAAGAACGTTTCGATCAAAAGGCCTCAAACGAGAGGGTTTCGTCATTCCTGTTGTACCTTCCTCAATATCTCTATCCTAAAACTTAAATTTTGCTACCGTTCTAACGAACCTACGTTACAATATATCAGTACAATTGACTGCGTTGATGACATTATATGCACTTAATTACGAACTAAGTGAATACAGTTATTTGAACGTGCATATAACAAGGATTATACCATGTTTTCCGTAAAAATCACTTTCATGTAGACTTTATACAGGTTTTCTTAAAAACCGTAAATTACTTTTTTTAATAAATTTACTATTGGAAACTTAATTTATAGTAATAATACATCCACTGAAGAATCTTAAAATAAATATATTAAAATTTCTTCTAAATTGAAGTTTTTTAAGCACATAAAGTTTTGATTGAATTTCGTTTTTCTTCAATGTATGTTGCGTATGAATTAGGTTCAAGACAAAAGGTTGAACTTAATTAAAATAATTTACATATTTTAATAGAGTTTTAACTTATTTTTTGACCAAGTATGATATGTCAGATTCATATACATATTCAATAACGCAATCAATAAATTTATTTAGGATTTTAAAAAAAAATTAGCGTGCCATAGCAACACCTCAATGGTGGTTTGGAAATTTGCTAACAAATTACACAGAAAATAATATAATAAATTCTTACTATCAATACAATTGACAAATCAACAAAAACAAAAAAAAATAGTTTTTGAAGTAGTTTACGTGAGACTACTATTTTGCTTTCATACTTCAAGAAAACTAAAAAGTACCACATAGAAAATTTAACTTATTTAACAAATTGAAAAAACGAAAGAATGTTATCTTATATTTATTAAAGCAGACTTTAAGAATTATTTGGGAGGCTAAGGGGATCAAATAAATGAATTTAACCAAATTAAATAATATACACACAGTAATAGTTGTACCTTATATTACAGGTGGCTAAAGCAGGGCCTCAGTAGGTATCAGAGGGCTCTGCCAAAACAATAACAAATTTCTTTTTTTGAAAGGTAATAAAATGTACCATTATTTTTAGTAGTAATGACTGATGGTCATAATATGTATATGGATGAACCAATTAGGATACTATTAACGTAAATACTGGTTGATATCATTTGTGTATCAAAAAATCTATACGTAATATACCTCGACTTCCCGATCAGAAAATTCACTAAAATACCCCGTTAGTTAGGTAGGCCCAAGGTTGGCTGCCAAGATAGGGCCTACCTATGTAATTTCTGCGGCATAAGTGTAGCGCTACCTTAAGCCAAGATTTCTATCTTCTACCTAATCAGACTGGACTGAACAGAACTAAGAAAGGTTTGAGCGTATTATAAATCATAATAACTATACAATCGCAATCACTCTACAATAAAGAGTTTGACAAATTTTTCCACGTACACAAATTAGCTTTATAGGTCAACTGAGTAGCCAAGGTAGAGCTAACCTAATGCCGCATAATTCTGAAGTGTTAAAGTCCTATTTATGCTAAAGTTGGTGAAAGATAGAGTAAGTCGGCCGCTAAGATAGGCCCTATACTTAATACTATATCTTAAGCTTTCAACGTTCAGCACGTTAAGCCTTCCGCTTCTTTAGTTCCATGCTTCTCATAAATACTTAGAGTGTATTTGCATACGTTTTACTAAGAATCACGAATTAGACTTTGAATTAGACTTTGCCAATTAGTATCATGTCATTTCTAAGAATTAAAACACTTTTAAAATTTCGTCAAGATGTATTTTTCTAAATGTTTTTTAACATCTTTTCGTAAGAAATTAAAAAACTCAATTGCACGAGGCACTCGCGCAACTGAATTATTTATGAAGCTACACCGATACTCACGATTTTTATATTTTGGAAATTTTTGTGGCGTGTATATAGCACAATGTATACAATATTTGCTTCTAATTACTAGTAATGACGCGTCTAACCGTGTAAAATAAAAAAAATGATATTAATTTTTCAATCGAATAATTTTTGACATCTAAGTAAAAGTTTTCTTCTTATGTGAATTTCAGGGGAACAATCCAGGCCAGAATACTGAAAGTAATGAAGTCATCGGTGGTGGTGGTGGTAGTGGTGCAAGAAGAGTGCCCTTCGGCGAGCGTTCAAGCCCAATTCCGAGACGCATAAGACCCGTACTAGTTCGACGGCGCATATTGATCGCACTGGCACTTATTTCCCTCATTTACATCGGTCTGATCAGGGACGTTGAACTGTTACGATTCGGGAACCAGGCCATCGACAATTTGGCACTTTCACTCTGTTTGCGTAAGCAGTTCGACGTGGTGATTATCGATGCTGGCTCGACGGCTAGTCGGGTATTAGTCTTCACATTTCACAAGTCCATATTAAATGGTAAACTCGTGCTGGACGACGAACTCTTTGTCGAGAAGAAGCCAGGGCTAAGCGCCTTTGCCAAGGAGCCCTACAAAGTGCGCCAATCACTTGAAGAGCTGCTTGACCATGCCAAAAAGCGTGTGCCCAAAAATAGTTGGGCCCATACGCCTTTGATATTGCGTGCGACTGCGGGTTTGCGCTTACTGCCAGGTCACGAAGCTCAAAACATCTTGGCTGAGAGTCGACGTGTCGTGAAAGCTTCAGGCTTTCTTGTCGAGCCAGATGCAGTTGAAATCATGCATGGCACGGACGAAGGTTTATTCTCATGGTTCAGTGTCAATTTCCTCGCCGATCGCTTTTCAAGCTTAGGCAACAGTTTTGAGTACGCGTCAAATACCGTAGCTGCACTTGATCTCGGTGGTGGCTCAACACAGCTTACCTTTGCGCTAACACCTGCAGAGCTTGAGCACACCAGTACTCACAAAGATCAGCTCAAGCATGTCAATGCCTTCGGTCGCAACCTAACTTTGTTTACCCAGAGTTTTCTTGGTCTGGGCCTCATGGCCGCGCGTAAGGCGATTTTCACACATCAGGATAACCAGGCACTTGTGGGCCAGCTGGAACAACAGCGATCGAGCTCAAAATCCATTGAGCTGCGAGCCGAGTGCGTCAACCCCATTATAGTGAAAGCCCCGTGGAGCTATGGGGGCCAGAACTATCTGATAAGTGGTCCATTGAACGGTTCTAACAAGATCATCAAGGCTCAGAGCTTTGCGAGCGTCGATGATGACTTGCCCATCGTCAGGCTCCCAACGTGTCTTAAAATTATCCAGAAAGTTGTCAACGCATCCATCCCTCATGACCTTCCTAGTCTTAGGAATCATGAAATATATGCGTTTTCTTACTACTTTGAGAGAGCAGTGGAGGTATAGAGTAAATTATATGACTTGGAGAGAAACTTGACTGAGCTTTATGAATTATTGACTGTGATCTTTTACAATAATTTACAGGTGGGCCTCATAGATTCCTTCGAGGGAGGAGAAGTAACGTTGGAGTCGTTTTACAAGGCTGCTGAGAGAGTATGCCAAGATCCAAACACGGATCAGCCGTTCATATGTTTGGACTTATCATTTATTTACGTTCTACTTCATGATGGCTTTGGACTCAATGATGCTACTCAGATCACTGTAAGTGAATGATCCATGTGAATATAGAAGTTTGCCTAAGCTTTTCAAAAAATAAATGAGTCTGAGTGCTTGCAGTCCCTATGAACTATGTCTAAGGAAAATTGTGTATGTCATGTCTTCAGGACTGACACGGTGTCCTAGAGTGTGATGTCGATGAACATGATTTTAACATATTAGCATCACTTATAATAATAAAAAAGCTTCAGTGGCTTAAGAAGTTTCAATACCTATAGTCTATGCGACGCTCTCTACAGTTTGGTATATCGTCTGTCTTTTTCGCTCTCCTGTGACAACATAACCTTTTGTAGGTTTTACCACGCCTATTAATTTCTTCTTTTAAAAGGACTCTCGAGATTTCCAATAAAATTCAATACGATAATTAGATATTTTTATATCACTGATAAAATTTTCATCTAAAGTACATTCTTAATTAGCGAGGTAAATGCAATAGAAGCGCTTAAAAAGACGACAGCCCATAAGCCTACATATAAAAATTAGCTAAATATAAATATTAATTACTCTCGGCTCCTAGGAACCCTCATGCCTTCAAATTTTTACAGTGCCATTTTCATGACTTTATTCATTTGTAGATAAACTTTCATCTATTTCTCATTGTTAATTCTTTAACCGATAGAGCTCCCTTGATAGTAAGCATGCTTACTTTCTAGCCGGAGGAATTCAAAGGGTCGAGGTTCAAATCTAGTCTACTTTCCACTAAAGGCTTTAATCAAATGCACACTTTATGAAGACTGGCACAGCTCAGATTTTCTTGATGTAATTTTGAATTAAATAATTTAAGTTATGCTATTTTTTGTGCGTTGGATAAATATATATATATATATATATATATATTTTTTNGTGTATCAATATATATATATATATTTATTATCGCCTCTTAGAGGATGAGCTCAAACCTCATTTGGAAAAAAACTTCATTTTTTAATCAAATTTTTTTGTCCAGAATGGGATTTGCACCCCTGCCATCAAGATCTGTAGGCAGGTAAGTTACCGACAGAGCCATCATGTGGCTTAAAATGTGTATATTATCTTTGTTTGGCTTTAATCTAATACACACTCTCTGAAGACTGGTATAACTCAGATTATGCTAGTATAATTTTCAATTAAACAATTTAAGTTGTGCTAGTATTTGTAATTTGTATCAAATTGTGTATATCTTCGTTGATAGCATCGTCTTCTTCGATAACGTATCATATATCCTGAAAGCTTAATGCGCATAAGTTCCTACAATGCAATATTTAGATATTGTCTTTGGAGAGTGCGTTTATCTGTAAAATTTCTTCGATGCAAGATTTTAAATGCTCAACTTCTAAGAATTCATCATTTGAATTATGTCATCGGTGACTCAACCCACCTACACACTGAACATTGTGTCTAGGTGTATGTGTATACTCGGCTTCATTGAAAGCACACACTTAAACAACGTATAAAATGTACTGAATGTACAAGAAACATGATTTGGTTTAGCTTAACGAAAATACTATTTTCATGGAATACATACACATGCAAAAAAAATTAACCATAGCTATGAGACCTTACGTGCATTAATTTTCAATTTAGTGACAGATTTTAGGTGTTTATATACATCTGGAAAACTTACCTAATAGTCAAAAGTTATTCAAGTAATCATAAGTTAGGTTGAATCAAATTTGGCTACACTTTTACTGAACCCAACTTCTGACCCTTTCACGTGGACATGCACATAAAAATTTATTGTTCCCATTTGCCTCTATTTTCATAATTAAGTTTTTTATAGCTATCTACTTTTACTTTCTTTAAATCGTTAAAAAAATTTTCATCTCCAATTTACTTTTTTAAAGTAACACTGGATCATCAATGACAGTGGAACTAATAATATATTTTTATTTTTTCCCATTTTTTATTAGACTGTGCGTCATTATTTCGAAGTATTTAGAAAAATTTCTTGAATTTTTATAGTTAACATCAAGTTTTTTTTGTCATACATACCGAGACAGTGATATACTTTTTGTCTCTGATTTCCATGGAAAATAGTCCACATCACTTTCCTCATAAAAATTATATTTACCGTTCATAGAAAAGTGTTTTACCATTCTCCATGTGATTGCCAAAATACTTTCCTAATAGTACGCAGTAAATGAAATTTTCTATACCTCAAAAGGATGCTTTTTTGAGTTTTCGTTACGTTAAAAAAATACCACTATAAATTTTTCTTAGGAGCATGAATAAATTTTTACATTGTAATATTGTTGTACTAAAAATTTTCGTTACTGTTTACCAAAGTAATTATATATGAGGTAACAATGAAAAAAATGTTCTATAATCCATATAAAGTATTGGTAACAAGCAATGCAGTAAATAATGTTATATTGTTTGTAACGAGACTAATCTACTTTTCTAGCTGCTGAAAAAAATTAGCGGTCACGAGCTGAGCTGGGCTTTAGGAGCAGCATTCAATATGTTGGATCTTAATTCGTGATATCTTCAAGGTATTATTGAGATGCCATATCAAATGCAACGACACTATTTTTCAACGTAAAATGCCATACAGCAATATACACACATAATAGATATGTATACGTATTATGTGCTGTAATTTTAACTATGAAAAGTGTACTTTGAGCAAAAACTTTTTGTGACATTGTTGTAGTTTTATGCTATTTTTAATATTTTTAAGTAGTGATAATGATTTTACAATACATTGCTACGTATACATATATGATGACTATTTTTTAGTCACAAAGTATCTATAAATATAACTGTATTTTCTCATCTGTACATCACTTGAGTGATTTTCATGGGTACCTTCTATCACCTCCATGTGGCAAATTTTGGTCAGAACCCTGAGTAATATTCCCTAATCCCACCTTTTATTGCCCAAGTAATTTACCTACGATCACTGTCTCAACTTCTCCAACTAATCTCTTGTACCCTTCTTCGAGCCTAAATCCTAGATTACCACCAACTCCAGCTAGCTCCGTATGTGCTAGAGTGCTCGTGGAGCTTAATCCTGGATCATCATGTAGTGTGGAACTAGATGCAAAGCTTAGAAAAAAATTATAGTAGGAAACAACTCTGACCTAACGAGTTGTTGTATAATAAACTTTAATGTTGTAATATGAAAAATAATTGCTTATGTAACTAGTGCGAAAAATATGATTTCTCGCACGAGCGGCTAGAGTTGATGGGAACAAATTCCAGTGAGCATACGAGTGCGTACCACTCGTATGATCGCAAAGCACGAGTTACCGTCGCCACCCATAAGTAAGTGTAATTCACACGAGTGCGGGAAATCGTCCACGAGTTGTGTATATGATTTTTTGGAATAAATGTAAGGAAAAAAAGTATGAATTTTGAAAAAAATCTTTGCCGCACACCTTTTCTGCACACTGCGTGATAAAAATCTTAGCCACAGACTAAGTAGTAAAAATTTTGTCGCACACGTTTGTTGCACACTATTCGAGAAAAGCATTTAAATTATTTTTAATTATGAAAAAAAAGATTAAAATATATCATTTTTGTTTTATCATCACATATTAGACTTTTTGACTTTTGATGCTTGCTGTACTAATAAAATGACATTTATACTTGATAAAAATAGTAAAATGTAACAACTGTAAAAAGTAAATTTAGCTTTGTCTTCGTTAATTATTCTTTTTTGAAAATAGAAAAAATTTTGTCCAATATTTTATGATACTGTATCTGACATAATTATTAAATTTTTTCATGCAACATTCCATTGTACGAAGATTTTTTACGCTCATAAGCACTAATATGCCATATTTTTTTATAAATGATGATGAATGAGTTACAGAAGCCAGTAGGTACCACAACTATCTCATGCTTCGTATAGAGAGTGTAAGTTGCATGTGCTCTCAAAGTGCGACCAAATCTAAGGTAATTTTAAAATTTGCCAATACTGTTGTTGTTGTTGCTGATAGGATAATTAAAAAAAAGATGTATTACAAATTTGTAGAGATATGAAACAATATTATAAGAAAAATGGTTGGTTATAGCAAAGAATAATGAAGGGCATCATATATTTTAACATACCATGCATTATTTTAGTCTTTAATACAGAGTATAAAAAACAAATTTGTATGCGTAAAGCATGTGTATTGTATCAAGACATTTGTAAAAATGTTGTTTTAATAAATAATTTAGGGAGAGTTTTTATGTGCTAGCAAATAAAAAGACCACGTTACATAAAAGTACTTTTGTTTGACTTTATGAGACGCTTATTATACACGTGTGGGCGCACATCTGTCCGTTACGGTAACTAGCGATGTTCTGACGGAGAAGAAACGATTCTTACCAACATATCAAACTCGAATGTTGAGATTAGTTATAGAATTCACATCCAAAATTAGAGAAAAATAAGTAAGATTAAGTTTATTAACAACAATAAAGTAAATCCAAGCATCGATGCCCCCTATTACGTGGATGTCAATGTGGCTTTTATAGGTTTTCTTTTCCATCATGGTTCATTTCCACGTACACCGCATCCAAGTAAATATTTTACATGCAGTATTTTAATTGCCTGAATCTATAAATTATGTGTGAAAAATCCACGTAGACATCCTTTAATAGATAAAAATGTTTATTACAAAAATTTCGCAAAAAAACATTTTATTATTAAGAATTATGTGTATCAAAAGAGAATATAATAAATTCCAATATTTTTAGATTTATTTTAAAAATTTGTATGCAATTTAGTTAATTTTTCTTATTTCTTGCAATAAA